AGGACAGGTAGATTTGCGTGTCATTCGCATAGAAATGATATTGGAAGCCAGAGGAGCTAATGAGTTTACCAAGGGAGGCAGTATAGATAGAGAACAGTAGGGGACCAAGGACTGAGCCTTGGGGGACACCAACAGAGATGAGTTAGGGAGAAGAAGCAGAGCTAGAGAAAGAAACACTGAAAGAGTGCTGGGAGAGGTAGGAGGAGCACCAGGAGAGAGAAATATCTTGTAAACTGATATTGCAGAGGATGAGAAGAAGCTGTTGATGATCAACAGTGTCAAAAGCTGCAGACTAGTCAAGGATAATTAGGATAGAGTAGTGACCACGAGATTTTGCAGCGAGTAGATCATTGGATACTTTGGTCAGTGCCGTTTCCACAGAGTGCTTAACGCGGAAACCAGACTGAAGCGGGTCTAGCAGAGAGTTAGACTCGAGGAAGTCTGTCAATCTTGCATACACAATTTTTCAAGGATCTTGGATGCAAAAGGCAGTAGCAAGATAGGACGGTAGTTGGATGGGGAGTTAGGGTCAAGGTTGGGCTTCTTTAGAATTAGGGTTACAGTTGCAAGTTTTAAGGGCCATGGAAATATTCCAGAAGAGAGAGAGAGATTGCAAATTTTAGTGAGAGGTGGAGAAAGAGAAGACGACAGAGTACGGATGAGATGCAAGGGAATTGGATCTAGGGAGCAGGTGGTGGGACGGGAGGACTGGAGCAGAGCAAAAACCTTTTCCACTGTAGCAGGTGCGAATGAACATAGAACAGCAGAAGGAGTGAGGCTAGGGGAAGTATTGTAAGGGGAAGAAGAAAGATGAGAGATCACTTCTCTTCTCTGATTGTAGATATCTTGCCAGTGAAGTGAGTTGCAAAGTCTGAGGCAGTCACGTTAGTAGGTGAAGGATGAACAATAGGAACAATGTGTGAAATAGTCGTTTGGGTTCGCGGGAGAGTGTGGTTATGAGGGTATTGAAGTAATTTACTTTTGCAGAGGAAAGAGCCACGCTGTAAGAGCGCAGCATTAATTTATAGTGGAGAAAGTCAGATGCACAGTGAGATTTTCTCCAACAGCCTTCAGCAGTTCTGGAGCAAGTCAGCTTGATGTGCAAGGGTTGTTGTTGGAGGCGCCTGCTGCGTTTAAATGTAGGAGGTGCCGTGATGTCTAGTTGAGAGGAGAGGGTGGAATTGTAAAAGGAGGTTGCAGAGCAAGGACAGGTGAGGTTTGAGATAAGTAAAAGGAGAGTTTGGAGATTAGTGGAGAAATGCTGTAGGTCAAGACATTGGGGGTTTCTGTGAGATTGATGTTCAGACGGTGGTGTCAATTAGGTCTTAGGTATGCCGATGTCAAAAGTCAGCAGATGGTGGTCAGATAGAGGAAAAGGAATATTGGAAAGATTAGATGCGGTACAGAGATTGGTGAAGGCGAGATCAAAAGTGTTTCCCGCTGTATGGGTTGCTAAATTGGACCATTGCATAAGGCCAAAGGAGCAGGTTACAGAGAGCAGATGAGAGGCATCAGTGCAATTGGGGTTGTTGATGGGGATATTGAAATCCCCAAGTATAAGGGGAGGAGTGCTAGATGAGAGGAAGTTGGGAAGCCAGGAAGAAAAGTGCTCAATGAATAGTCTAGGAAAAGTGGGAGGGAGGGGTTGGTAGATGATAGCAATTCTTAATGGAGTGAGTTCAAAAGAAGAAAAGGATAGGGCGGGGGGAGTTATGATTGGTTGAAAGGTACATTAAAGCGGCACTGTCATGCCGAATCCTGGGTTTTTTTTAAGCCCCCTCTGGCCTCCACTACATCTGACACCCTAGTCACCCCCAAATGCCCCTACATTACCTATTTTTTATTCCTTATTTCCTGCCCTGATCTATATTCAGGGCGCCGCCATCTTTGTGTGGGTAGATGAAGTCCCTGTGGGACACGTCATCAGCCCACACTAGATAGACTGTGAGATTCCCGCACATGCCCAGTGAAACACCTGGACATGCGAACGGGAATTTTATCTATTCATTCATCAGACAGACGAATGAGTGAATAGATATATCAGCCGAACAAACAAACACTATGTATCTGAGTATCAGTGTTCGTTCAGTTTATTACAAGGAGGGAGCTACCAGCATGCAGCTCCCTCCTTGTAATATGTAACTATAGAAGCAGCAGGGAGCAGTGCTCCCCACCACTTCATAAGGCCCCCCCCCAGTTCCCCCCTCACTCTATGGAGGTCAATATGACCCCCATAATAGCACAAGGGAGATTAAAATCTCCCCAATGCCCCTACTCGCTATAACGCGAGTAGGGGCATGTCCACTAACCAGTGAGCAGCCTGTGGTGGGGACCATAAAGATAATGGGGGGCCTACTGTCCTCCCCTCCGGCCCCAACCCCTGGGCTGCGGGTGGGGCCCTAAGTAAATTCCTCCCCCCAAGGTGACTAGGGGTCCCCAAGCCCCTATTCACCAACCCACCCAAATAAAAAGTCCCTACCTACCCCCCTCACCCTAAAAAATAGTGAGGGGGTAATAAAATAACTAACCTGTAAAATAAAATTAAACTTACCATTCGACGTCTTCTTTTTTCTCAAATCAAATCCAAAAAAGGCCAAATAAAAAACCATTATAACCGTCTAACTAAAAAAAAAAAAAATCCAGAGCGCAAAAAAAAAAAAAACAGACGAAAAAGAAAAAACCCGAGCGCAAAAAAATAATAACTAGGGGCTTGGGGACCCCTAGTCACCTTGTGGGGGGAGTAATTGACCGCCCAGGGGTGGGGCCCGGGGGGGGTGAGGACAGTAGGTCCCCCCCCCTCATTATCTGTATGGCCCCCATCCACCGCCCAGGGGTGGGGGCCGGAGGGGGGTGGACAGTAGGTCCCCCCCTCATTATCATTTGGCCCCCACCCCTGGGGTGGGGGCTGGGGGGGAGGACAGTAGGTCCCCCCCCATTGTCTTTATGGCCCCCACCCGCCGCCCAGGGGTGGGGGCCGAAGGGGGGGTGGACAGTAGGTCGTCGTCCCCTCATTATCATTATGGCCGCCGCCCAGGGGTGGGGGCCAGGGGGTGGACAGTAGGTCCCCCCCTCATTGTCTTTATGGCCCCCACCCGCCACCCAGGGGTGGGGGCCGGAGGGGGGGGTGGACAGTAGGTCGTCGTCCCCTCATTATCATTATGGCCGCCGCCCAGGGGTGGGGGCCAGGGTGGGGGCAGTAGGTCCCCCCCATTATCATTATGACCCCCACCCACTGAGCAGGGGTGGGGGGACTTTAGGTCTCCCCCCTTATTTTACTTTAGGGCCCCCCAGTCGTTTAGGGGTGGGGGCCAATAGTTTTTTGGTTTTTTTTTACCGTGAGCAGCCACAGGCTATAGTGAGAAGGGGCATATTATTTACTAATACTAAGAATCTACAGCCTTTTAGTAGATAACTCCCTGATACTGTGGGAATTAGGGAGTTATCTACTAAGCGGCTGCAAGATGCAGCTGCGGCAATGAATAGGATCGGAGTTTGATTCATTCAATTGAAATTCCGATCCGAATAAAGTGCCGAATTGCGTTCTAAAAGAAACGAACATGCTGTTCTCAATCAGTTAGAACGCAATTCGGCAGTTTTGTGTAAAGTGACAGGAACACAGAGGGAAGGTGAGAATCATGGGAAAATTGCTCTGACCAGCGGAAATGAAGCACACTTTGCTCCTCCGCTGGTCAGAGCTGGTCAATCGGAGGAATCCTCCATAAGGCAAAGAGTCCCTACTTTGTCTTATGATTTTAAAGAAAACAGGAAGAAAAGAATAACAGATCCTGAGAGAGGGGGAGAAGAGGAAGAGATTGAGGAAAGGTAAGTTCGGCATGACAGTGCCGCTTTAAGGGGAGAGAAGGATGCCTTCACCACCTACTTTACAGTTGAGCCCACCAAAACCTACTTTGGTTGTAGCCCACCAAAACATAAAGAGGCAGGAGTAGCGCTATCAGAGGGGGACAGCCAGGTCTCTGTAAGTGCAAGCAGTGTGAGTGAGTTTGAGATGAAAAAGTTGTGTATGGTTGTTGATTTTAAATTACTGCAGATGAAACGGGCATTCCAGAGTGCACAATTAATTTTGGTAAGTGAGGGTAAAGGACAGGCTATTGTGATGAGGTTTGTGGGGTTCCTGGTTGTCTTAGTGTGTGTAGAGAAGGTGAAAGGCCCTGGATTGGGAGAGACATCACCAGCTGCTAGAAGTAGGAGGAGAGAAAGTGACAGGAGCAGGGCCGGATTAACATAGGGGCTGATGGAGCTGCAGCTCCAGGCCCAGGCCCATGGAATAGGCCCATTTAAAAAATATATATATATATATTATTTTTGTAAAAAAAATTTTTTACACGCTACTCTTAGGTTTGCCACCTGACTGGTATTTTAATGGCACAGACGGTATTTGAGGCTGCCTAGCTGTGCCGGTATTGCAGTAATAACAGCAATACAACTGCAGGTAATTTTCTCAGAATAAATGGAAATTACTCTGCAATACCAGCACCGGTCAGTAGGGGTCACTGTGTGTGGAGAGAGGCAGGGATAGGAAGTTACAGAATATCCCTCCCTGCCTATCTATACTCACTAATCCGTGGGGCAGCAGCTACACAGCACAGAGTCCAGACAGCAGCTCTACAGCTCAGGTAAGTGAGGGATGGGGGGAAAGGCAGCAGGTACACATGGGGACACTGAGACACTAGGGGACATATGGGGACACTGAGACACTAGGGGACACATGGGACACTGAGACACTAGAGGACACTGAGACACTAGGGGACATATGGGGACACAGAGACACAAGGGGACACAGACACTAGGGGACACATGGGGGCACAGACACTAGGGGACACTGAGACACTAGGGGACATATGGGGACACTGAGACACTAGGGGACACAGACACTAGGGGACACATGGGGACACTGAGACACTAGGGGACACTGAGACACTAGGGGACATATGGGGACACTGAGACACAAGGGGACACTGAGACACTAGGGGACACATGATGACACATACACTAGGGGACACTGAGACACTAGGACACAGACACTGGGAGACCTGGGAACACTGAGACACTTGGGGACACTGGAAAATATGGGGACACTGAGACACTAGGGGACACAGACACTTGGGGACATATGGGGACACAGACAATAGGGGACACATGGGGACACAGACACTAGGGGACACTGAGACACTAGGACACATGGGGACACAGACACTGGGAGACCTGGGGGCACAGACACTTGGGGACACTGGAAAACATGGAGACACTGAGACACTAGGGGACACTGGGACACATGGGGATGCTGAGACACATGGGGACGCTGTGAGACATAGGGACATTGGGAGACATTGGGACACGGAGACACTATGTCCCACAGCCAGTGTCCCTAGTGTCTTAGTGTCCCCAAGTCTCCCAGTGTCTGTGTCCCATGTCTCTCAGTGTGCCTAGTGTCCCCATGTGTCCCAGTGTCCCCATGTCTATGTCCACAACTGTCCCCATGTCTCCCCAAGTGTCTGTCTCCCAGCCAGTGTCCCCTAGTCTCCCAGTATCCCCTAGTCTCCCAGTGTCCCCCAGCCTGCCAGTGTCTGTGTCCCTAGTGTCTTAGTGTCCCCAAATGTTTCAGTGTCTCCATGTCTCCCAGTGTCTGTGTTTCTAGTGTCTCAGTGTGCCTGGTGTCCCCATGTCTCCCAGTGTCCCCAAGTGTCTGTCTCCCAGCCAGTGTCCCCTAGAGTCCCAGTGTCCCCTAGTCTCCCAGTGTCTGTGTTCCCATGTCTGTGTCCCTAGTGTCTTAGTGTCCCCAAATGTTTCAGTGTCCCCATGTCTCCCAGTGTCTGTGTCCCTAGTGTCTCAGTGTCCCCATTGCTCCCAGTTTCCCTAAATGTCTCAGTGTCCCCATGTCTCCCAGTGTCCCCGAGTCTCTCAGTGTTCCCATGTCTCTCAGTGTCCCCAGTATCCTAGTGATATGGGGACACACTGAGACATTGGGACACTGGGAGAAATGGGGACACACACTGGGAGACTAGGGGACTGGGCGACATGGGGACACTGACACTGTGATACATAGGGACACTGAGACATCCCATAGGATTGGCTGGTCCTGTCAACTAGGCAGATCAGGGCAGAGCCAGCCCCTCAGCATCTCCTCATAAAGATAAATTGAATCAATGCATCTCTATGAGGAAAGTTCAGTGTCTGCATGCAGAGGGTGGAGACACTGAATGGCAGTGCTGCACACTTTGCAGTACTGCCCCAGGAAGCACCTCTAGCAGCCATCTAAGGAGCAGCCAGTGGAGTTATTTTCTCTGAAAAGACAGTGTTTACTGCAAAAAGCCTGAATGGAATGATTCTACTTACCAGAACAAATACAATAAGCTGTAGTTGTCCTGGTGACTATAGTGTCCCTTTAAGTTTGGAAGCTTAAGAGGGATGTATGGGAACAAAACTTGTGTGCACTGGCTGACATTAAAGTTAGTTTAGGTAATGCAGACATTGGTCTCTCTAACACTGTGGCATGTCCCCTTTCTTCTACACTCACTACAGACACCTTTTCTCTGTCTCAGACTATATACCAGGAACTTCTGCCTGCTAGTAAGAAGGTAAGGAGACAAGTGGACCAGCGAGTGCTAGGGGACAGTCCTTAGAAAGAATGGAGTGAGCGCATCATTAGACGCATTTATGTCAAGCTCAAGGTGCAGCCTGCATAGTATGCCCTTAGTTGGACAGCCTGCAGGATTGGCAGGCAGCCTGACATGCATTCATGCCAGGCTGACCTTCCAATTCTTTGGACAAACATGCCCCCTTTTTGGGCATGTTCTCCCCTTTTGGCAAGTCTGGTCACGTGATTCGCGCCAGTGGCACACCCTTTTACCCTGCCCATTGACTTCCTGCTTCACTGGACACTGCTGTTAGGGGTTATGGATTTACTTGAAAGATGAAAGCATAAATTAGAGAGAGATTAGCATAGGGTATGTATTTTCTTATAGCTGCATCCGAAGAGTTTCCCTCCTGCACCATCTCCATCAGATACATGACGCTTGGGAGGTATGATTGTTTTAGTGTTTTTGGTCGATAAGATTCCGTAATTAGGCCCATCATAATTGTCAGCACCAGGCCCACTGGGCTCTTAATCCGGCCATGGACAGGAGGTGTGAATGGGTTTTGTATGCATGGGGTCTAGGATGAGATCGATTGTGGGTTGGAGTGAGAGAGTAGAAAAATGAGTGCAAGGCATGAGATGAGAGAAGGGGGGAGTGTAGCAGAGAAGGGCATATGTAAATGTGGATGGGTGGATGAGTGAAGTGGGTGTAAGGAGAGATTTTTATACCGAGGGAGAAGGAGGAAATAAAGAGGAGGAGAAGACAGATCATTGCTAAACTGGGAAAAAGTAAATTGGAAATAATATCAAGAGCAGGTAAATATTAAGTTTTATGGGTTAAGAACATGCAGGAGTGTACTAATAAGAGGCAGTGTGTTCACCTGTTTTTACTTGTCTAAAATGTGGGTGTGACAGACTATCTATAAATGTAATGATGAGCGTGGGGTGGGGTGGGCATCAGGCTTGCTTACAGCAGTATTGGGGTTTGGAAATCAGGCTGTTGAATAAAGATATGTGAGGGTCAGATAGGCTTCCAATAAAGCTGAGGGAGGGGGATATGTATCTAGGGACAGAGGTGAAGGGATGGTAATTCAAATAAAACAAACATATCAATAAAAGAAGGGAGGGGTCAGAGGTCAATCAGAAATCAGAGGGGAAATAGAGGAATGCATATAGGTGAATAAAACAATTACAATTACAGGGCTTGCAAAACTACACTTTAGCATAACAGACACGATATAAAGGCAAGAAAATATACAATGCACACAGGCTGTATTAATCAGGTAGGCAGGTTAAAGCAGAGATGTAGGTTATCCAGGTTGGTATGAAGCAGGGCTGTATAAATCAGGTAGGCAGGTTAAAGCAGAGATGTAGGTTATCCAGGTTGGTATGAAGCAGGGCTGTATAAATCAGGTAGGCAGGTTAAAGCAGAGATGTAGGTTATCCAGGTTGGTATGAAGCAGGGCTGTATAAATCAGGTAGGCAGGTTAAAGCAGAGATGTAGGTTATCCAGGTTGGTATGAAGCAGGGCTGTATAAATCAGGTAGGCAGGTTAAAGCAGAGATGGAGGTTATCCAGGTTGGTATGAAGCAGGGCTGTATAAATCAGGTAGGCAGGTTAAAGCAGAGATGTAGGTTATCCAGGTTGGTATGAAGCAGGGCTGTATAAATCAGGTAGGCAGGTTAAAGCAGAGATGTAGGTTATCCAGGTTGGTATGAAGCAGGGCTGTATAAATCAGGTAGGCAGGTTAAAGCAGAGATGTAGGTTATCCAGGTTGGTATGAAGCAGGGCTGTATAAAGCAGGTAGGCAGGTTAAAGCAGAGATGTAGGTTATCCAGGTTGGTATGAAGCAGGGCTGTATAAATCAGGTAGGCAGGTTAAAGCAGAGATGTAGGTTATCCAGGTTGGTA